CCAAACGAAGCCGCTGCGATCACCATCATTTCATTTCACCACCACCTCGAGGTCCTTCATCACCACCGTTCTTTGACGACACGGTAAAGGCCGCTTCACACCTCTATTGAAGCACAATGTCTTTGCCTCCAGAACAAATTAATATCAAGCGTCGCAGAGAAGAGGAGCCGGTCGAGACGTTATGTAAGACTCCCTTGATTCGTTGCATGAGCGGCCCTTCTTTTAGTGACGAGGCCCCTCAACTGCAGAATATCACTAGCAGTTCCCGTCTGCCTTTGATCATTTTACCAAGTTGCCAACGCTAACGCAATTTCCAGACATTCAGTCAGAGCTGCATCAGACTAAGCGTCGATTCACGGACTTTGTTTTCCAAAGAGTTCAGATCAGTGGCAATAGCCATGAAGACAGCTCGTCTAGCCCCTCTTCTTTCTCAGCAGCGCGGAGAAAAGTGCTTACTCCGCGGTCGGTGAGCAACACCGTCTATCCAACTACTGGGGGCGTGACCAACCGCGTTGCTGGTGCAGGAGCAACTGTCCCCTTGGTAAGAGCCACGTCTCCTGGGGCAGAGTTCCGCGAGGAACGTCGCCTGGCGAACGCTCGGAAAGAAAATGAGGAGAAATTGAGAAAAGCCTTGCTTTCAACGCCTACAGAAAGCCAGCCGGGAACCCCATCTGCTGTTCCAGCTTCTAATGGAATCGATGCCGCTAGAAAGGTAGCGTCATCTGCATCCAGTGAGAGAGGAAGCCTGGCTTCCTCGCCGGGACGGACGCAATCTCTACGCCGATTCCAGATATCTAGATCCACTACGCCAATGAGCCCGCTCCGTAGCACAGGCGGTGGTGTCCAGAAACGCAAAGATGGCGCGGTCGCGGTGCTAGTAGAGAAACTGAGGCGCACGCCGCATTCGAGACAAGCGTCGATGGTTGCTGATGCTGCTGCTCAGGTGGATGAACAGGCAAGCATGACGGTTGCGAGCGCTCTGGCCTCCGAGCCCGAACGGCCGAGGAAGCGGCCGGTGGTGAACCAGGCGGAGAAGAAATGGAGAGAGGAGCGTAAGAGCGCGATCTCGGCTGCGAAGCAGCATATCTCACAGGTGCTGGACAGAGAAGCTGAGGCTGCCCATCAGAGTAATTGGGAGAATGAGTCGGAACGATTGGCAAGGGAACTGGAGAAAGTGGCTCTGGAGCTGGACTCAGAAATGGATGTGACGGCCACCGAAACAGACTACACGCAGCGATCGGGGTCGCAGTTTTCGAGACCGTCTCGGCCTCATTCGGTGATGCCCAAGCCTCCGTTGAAATTCCAACCGCGCACGCCCAATAAGCATCGTGCGGGAGCCTCGGACGCACAAGTGATGCAAGGGCCAGTCGAGAAAGTTGAAGAGGCGGCGAACACTCTGTCCGCGGGGCCTGAAGAGGACGAGAGCGACGGGGAGTACGTCTACGACACGTACATACGGAAGCCACTTCCAGACACTGGACTACTTACGGACCCATTAGTTGGTTTGGATGCGGACCAAGAGGCTTGGTTGCGGCAGCATGGCATTGATGCGAATCGCCAAGACATTGGAGTTATCGTCATCACGCAGGAGGATGAGGAGTACTGGGAGAACTTTATCGAAGACGATGAGGACGAGGAACGGTGGGATAGCGAGGATGCAGATTCGAACGGTAAGCAGTCGATCGCAATTTTGGCAGGACCTTCTGCAGACAAGGCTAACACCACGGGTGATCCCGGGCAGCTGAAAATAATCCCGCAAATGACTATCCAGATGAGGAATTGTCGTGGGATGATGAAGAGGATGATCCAACGGCTATCTACAACAAATACCGGGCGTACGCTCGGTCTGATGACGAGGAGTTCGACTTTGACGACTCAGCCAGTGAGGGGCGCCATCGTAGTGGATTCGGGTTTCGGTTGCACGTGGATTCAGACGACGAGAGCTGGTGATCGGAGGGATTACGGTGACACACGCACACAGAGGGCGACACGCACAAGCCATCAATCAGGAAGCAAGTGAGCAGGGAATGGGGGCATGGCTGACCGAACAACGAGGCAGCGACACTAGCTCGGGTGGCTGCGTCTGCAGAACTCACGCCTTGTTTGGGTTGAGGAATTCATCGTATGTATGGTACTTTTAAAGCCATGTTTATTGCTGGCAATCGACGAGGACGACGAGCTCCTCGATGAGGCTGGGCTCGAATCGACTCGACCCGACTGACCTCTTTTGCCGTCCATGAAGTCATCGACGTAGGGCCCTGATTCACCGCAAGATCAGCAGCCGTCATGCCTCTGCAGAAATAATCTGCATCCGCATCGCTGCTGCAGGATGAGCTGGGCCGCGACGACAGGACTAGGCCGTAAGCCAAGTCGACCGATGTCTCCGGCCAGTAAGGACCGTTTCAGAATTGCAGTGGTGTATTCTTCCTTCCTTCTCTCCTTTCCCTTTCCTTCCCTTCCTCCGGGGAGAAAAATGATCGATCCTTCAGCATCTCGGTTTCCCTTTTCCCCCCCTCCCATTCCCAACGAAGTAAGAACCACGAGAGCAGCAGATTAAGCTGATCTCACCACCACCACCCCTCCTCCTTCAGTTTTACTACTTCTAAACCCCCCACGACCCTTAACACACAGACTCCAAAATAAGATTCTAACGGACCGAAGTAATGCGGGGTCCAAATCCTTCAAACACTCCTCAAGCCGATATCATTCGCCCTGTCATCTGATAATACGATAGATAGAACCTTCTAACTTTTCACTGAACAATCGTATTATACGGGAGTACTAGTCATGCTCATCTTTCGGGATTGGAATTAGAAGCGAAGAAGAATAGAAGAAAAATAAATTAAAATAATTAATAATATCACGAAAAGACTAAAAATAAGAAAAAAAGAAACGTTGAAAAACCTAGTAAGACATACATGCACAACCAAAACAAGCCAACCACTCATCCACGCCCAACACCTCCATCTTGTCCAACCCACCTGATCGATTCCTCTTTTCCTTCCCTCCTTTATACAGCTGTAAGCATGTAAGTAAGTATGTAAGTATGTATGTATATACGTATGATGTATTGTGTGTACTATTCTACATGCCGAGAATTCCATCCATGGCCTGTGCATCCACATCATGCAGTAAGTAATCCTCATTATCTGCAACAAAAATCCTTCCATCCACCCCACCCATCCGCCTAAATGAATAACCATTTGTAGGTTTTATGTATGTGCGTGAGTGATAGGTTAAGTTAGACCAGGTCAGGTTACACCTCTCTTTTCCATTTCCTATTCCTATTTTCTTTCCTGCTTTGCATTTGGGTTTGACCTTTCATGTACGTTCGGGATCTGAACAATCCTTCGATCAGCATAATTTCGTCTGCAGACTAGACTAGAATTTTCTTTTCCCACGCGTCGTTCTCTTTTCGTCTACTTGGGTCTGTCTACCTGTCATGTCTCGGATTGTAAGTAAGTATTAATTCTGGGTTGGTGAGGTGAGGGGGATCGGCGATTGGTTGGTTCCATTTCTTTCTTTTCTATCTTTCTTTAGATTCTTCTCTCTCGTATTGTCTAGATTGGGGTGTGTGTATGTATACTATGCTTGGAGTATTAGTATTACGGTGTATAATATCGAAAACAGATAGGAAGAATTGAACTTGGCTGGTTAGTACGTGGGATATGTATACATAGAACCCTATTAGCTAGGCATTTAGTATATTATATACTGTCATGAGATAAACATGTGAACGTTAGCTATCTATCTAGCTATCATCCCAGTTCTGTCAACCCATATAAGATCAACCATATAAGCGAGGATAGTCCTATAGTGAAACCCCCACTATGTGGCTATGGTGGAGACCAAAGCTCCTCTGTTATTTTTGACTATAGATTGGGTAGCTTGGGGTTGTAGTGATGCTAGTCATACTAACATTGTAGTGCATATATTACTATAATACTCTTGGATATTAATTCCACATGGTACTTGTTTGTCTATACTCGCATACGTAGGTAGAGGGTAAAGTATTCCTACCACAATGGCTTAATGCGCTATTTTAAAGATAATCTCAACTACTACCATTTCACTTATACGTATGACAGATTGTCAAATGCCCAGCCAGGTACAGAGGAAATAAGTAGATAAATCAGATAGACACTCCATCACTCTACAACTTGTGTATTATTCCGTCTCCCAATCTCACTGATATATTCATCAAGGTATACTCAGGTATAACATTATACTTATTTCGCTACACTGATAGTCAGCATTTATGTCAATACTTCAAAGCATTTACACCCACGTATCCCCAATAAACCTCTCTCAGACAAAAGTAGACATACGGTTCTACCCTTGAGTATAGAAGATGGTCTAAACCACTGTCATTCCATTTGGACATGGCGTATGGAGTTGACTTACACTACAACTAAGTCTTCTAGTTGCAGCATACTTCACTATCTGTAACCATCATACACACTATACATAAAATACCGTATCTAACACACTCACCCCCGTATCCATACGTACCACTCACTACCTCTCGGCCATCGGACATAAGTGCCAAAAGAGTCTATGACAACAGAGTGGGCAGGCTTCCTTACAGTATGGCCTGATTCGCGGTTGGGAAATCCCATGGTGTAATTATTCGCGCATTCATTCATGCGTTCCTCTACGCTTGTTCCTTACAACACAGATTGATAGAAAGAATAATTCGGTTATATTGATGATTGTCCATAGTCCCAGTAGTTGTTATTTCCGTAGCCAACCCTTTCAAAGGTGTTAACAAAAAAGTGATGAGAACCAACCCACCCTTAGCCATGTGTGTAAGATGCATGTATGCAAGCAAAGATCAGATAGCCTCCCAAGTAGTAGTAGTAGTAATAGTAACATAACATGCTGAATTGTGCCGACGTAATGAGCGAAATGAAATTTGACAAAAGAAATAAAGAGAATTGAGGATAGAAAGAGGATAGGATAGGAGAAGAAGGGGGAAATCGAGGAATTAAACAGAGAGGTATCTTCAGACGGCCGTGAGTTGTATCAGAGAATTTCCAGATAAAATAATAGAAAAATGAAAACAATCTTCAAAGACATCAAAATTGTCGAGTCGGATGGTCATTAGGAAAGAGTGAGGAAGTGGAGGTGTGTGAAGGAGGGTCTTTTTTCTCCTCTTCTTTTCTTTTTTTATTTTCACCTTCACCTGGGTATGCGTCTTCTGAGAACTTCCTCTTTCGACTCACGCATCCATGGATACCATATCCCCACCCAGTCAACCACACCGAATCGCGGGGCCCCCGATTCAGCGGCAAGACCCGCTCCCTCACGAAGAAAGTCACCGTCACGGAGACGCCGTTGCTCTCGCAAGGTTGGGCACTTCTTTTCTTTGATGAAGCGATAGAATTTGCATTGGATACCCTGGAAGCCCCGGCGCTGCCGGCTAGGGAATTGTTGGTTGAAGCTTTCACGTACTTCTTTCCACTCTTGGCAGAGGTCCACGCGGTGGTACCAGATGAAGTACATTTCCTCTTCCTCGTACTTCGGTCGAGGAGGTCGACGTCGCTCTGGAGCATTGCTGGAGCTGCTGGAAACCGAGTCATATCGCTCTCGCGAGTATGCGCCAGGCGATGACTCGGCCGATCGAGGTCGATAAGGAAGAAATGCTGCGTCCTGGGATGATGCAGAACTCTCTGCGTAGGGGTGGTGGCCATCTGAGTAGGGGGAATAAAAGTATTGGTTGGGACTGGGAGGATATAGAGGCGACAGTTGTGGTCCTGGGTGGCTGTAATGCATCCGAGAGCTCGTACTTTCTCTCTCTGATGATGGATTTAATAGAGAATCAATGGCCATGCGGCTTTGACGAGAAGCCGGCATGTAGTTTGCCTGTGGCCGCTCGTGAAGAGTCTCCATGGTAAATGTGTAATAACAGCGATGATAATAATAGACGCTTTAGTGGTGTGTTTTTTTTTTTTTTTTTTTTCTCCTTGGGAAGAGAAGATGATGTTCCAGTGGTAAGAGGGTGGAGGAAGTAGTGCGGAGACAAAAATAGTTGTTCCAGTGAAGGGAAGGAACAACCGCCAAAGGAGACCAAGTATATTTGACGAAGATGCAAGTAACGATGACTTCTCGCCCACAGTGAATCTGTTGGACTAACCAGAGGAGGCCAGCACCAAAGGGGGGTGGGTGGGGAGGAGTTTAAAAGAAATAAGAAATTTGGAAAATAGTAAGAGATTAAGAAGAAAAAAAAGGGAAGGAGTAAAAAATAAGAAATAAAAAAACAAATCAAAAATGTGACAGATGTTGGGTGTGTCTCTTTCAGCAAAGGCCGAAGGCGCTTCTACACAGTTGCACTACCTTACAACTGGTGTGTGCCTTGGTGAAAGAGAAAGGGAGCAAGAGGAGGACGAGGAGGAAAAAAAAAACAAAAAATCTTGGGAGAGACAGAGGAAGTGACGTGGATAGGGTAGAAGGAGGAATGAGAAGCTTTGTTGAACCGATTAATTTCCCAGGACAAGCCAGTCCTTAAAGCATCGCCAACGCCGCACGAGACTCCCGGTTGGACTTTTAGTGAGGGCAATGGTGGCCAAGGGTCCCTGTTAGTTCTTCTTAACCCATGCAGCGTACCAAACCTCTGGGACTGCCTGGCCTGTAATAGAGGCCGAAGTGACTGCGCCCCCTGTCCGGTCGTGGGGAGAGTCACTCCTACGGCGGGTACACGACGGTGACCGGCGTGATGTGTAGCGCCTGCGCCAGCAGGGAGCTGCGAGGGTAGTATATTGGTTGGAAATGAGGAGAAAGCCTTGTAGGAGGGGAGGGCTGTTCGTCCACTGGTGGCAGTGGTAGTAGTAGTCTCCTGTTGTTGTTGCTGGGGTTTATTCTCGCGTCTGTTCCTTCAACCCTAGTCCATCTGCAAGCATGTCCTCACTCGCGGTGGCTGTAAAATAGTATACCGGTATTTATTTCGGCCGGTGATCCAGATGAACAAAATAGATAGCAGTGAATAGTAATAAGATAGGAACCAAAATGGAAAAGATTCAAAAAACAATAGCAGCAACCAGGCCTTATATGCAAGGATATAGTATCGTCTGGAAACCCGTCAAGCACCAGAAGGATTCGCCACTTATTTTCAACGCCAGATGGATCCTCAGCATTCAGAATGATGAACTGCAGGAGAGGATGAGCGAGGATAAAAAGAAAACGACTGGATGAAAGAATGGCATCCGATGGATTGGATGGTTCAACAAGTGGAGATCGCGACAGGGTCACGTTGGCAGACCGACGACGTGCAGGGCCAGACTGGACGCTTGAGGGAGGTTAGTTTAGAGAGGGTCACCGTTGGATCGGGTAATTAATCGGGGCTTGCTGTAATTTATGATCTGGTTCGGATTTTCCTATGATTTTCCTTATTTTTATTCGGGCTTCTTATTTTCTTTTCTTTTCTTTTCTTTTTTATTTCCTTCCATTTTTTTAAATTCTCTGGTTTTATTTTTATCTATTTCTTCCTGATGTAGTTTTCATTCCTAGTTTATTTCGAATCTGGGTTCCAGCTCCACTCTCTTTCTCCTTCGTCTTTTTCTTTACCCCTCAGATTCCGGCTTGGCCAGTTCGTGCACTGTGCAGATTAGATATCAGAAAAGTCAATGTGGAATGAGGCCGTAATGAAGAATCCACAATCAAGCGAAAGCGTAAATAAAAGTTTTTTTCTTCTCTGAAAAAGAAAAAAAAGTGTGACGAAGGGAAAAGTGACGGAAGGAAGGAAGGGCCAAGGGAACAGGAATCGATCCTGATAAAACTGCCTAAAATAAAACCACCCCCAAGATTAAATTCTCAAAGAACAAAGACGAAGAACGAGGAGTAAGAGTGAGTAGCATAGTAACTGCTAATTCAGATCACCCAGTCAGTTAACGACGATAGTAATATAATAGGGATGAATAATAAGAATAATCAAAACCAAACTCATAATAATGATATGATAATGATCGCTTGGGGTCCGGGCCAAATTGACGACAAGCTTAATGGGTCCGGGTCATTCAAATCGTCGACCCAGCTAACTAACAACTACACTACTGACACTACATCGCACAAGTTATCATTGTACTTACCCTTAACCCTATTTAGTAGTTTGGCAACTGCCACGGATATGAAGAAGAAGAAGAAGATGATGATGATGATGATGACACCATCCTCAACCTGCCAGCCAACAACGCGCCATCCCCTGCCCTCTCTTGTCTCTTCTTTTCTTACTTACCTCTGGGCGGAGGATTGGCCACGCGGGGAGTGAGGGGGAGCAGGCCTTCGAAAAGAGCCATCTGCATGAGCGTCATGTACACAATCAGTCAAATCCCTCCCACACACACACACACTACTATTACCCCCCATGTCAATTCTCCTCATCGGCCCCCAAATCTTTCTGCACTATCCCCATTCATTCACCCATTCCTTTGCCCCAGTACCATGGGCTCGTTACTCTGCTTTCTTCTGGCACATGCAGTTTCTAGTTCCAACGCGCAGGTCTCGGTATGGCTGGGACACACCCTCACACTCACACACACGCTCCAGCCTATCAGCATAATTACAAATTCCGGAAGGATGGCCGCGGACTAAGGAGCAATAATAAAATTTAGAATAATAATAATATAATAATAATAAACAATAACCATACGATAATAATAAAATTTAACACCGAGCAATCAGAAAATTGAACACAAAATAAATAAAAAAAGCGTTCTGGAAAAATGTGGTACGCATGTATCATAAGGCGAAAGAGCCAGTCAGCCTTTCTAAACTGAGTATGTATTAGTCCCCACGTTTGTGTAAGTAAGTAACTCAGTAACTCCCTACCTGCCATTATTCAGGCTCTTGGCTTACTACATACGTACTGACTGACTGACTGAAAGTGACCTCAGCCAACCGCAAATTGGTTACTGCTTTTGTCAAAGATGTACATTAAAGTGGGTTGAGTGAGAGAGCGATCAAGTATGCCCTTTACCTAAAACTCTCTAGATAGATAGATAATCACCTACTGATCGATTGACTGACTTGCTTGCTGAAGAATGTGTCAAACCGTGTTATGCGTAACAGAGTTACGCCAGCAAGGGCTTTTTCTCGTATTTATATTCCCCACCATTTGCATTCCGCAGTAGCTACTTTTACTACTACGTACTAAGCTAATAAACTACTAAGGAAGGGAAATGTTAATGCGGTCGTAATTAATGACTCGGTTTTTGCCTTCTCTTTGGTTCAAACCCACCTGGAAATATTTGACGCACGATCTGCCCGCGGCGAGGAGCTTAAGAGACACATACCTTTCCTCCTAGGAGTCTATCTATTAGAAATAAGATATCTAGGGGTTTGATTTGACCTAACTGGACACCATCTAACAAATAATACGTAGTAACCAAAAACCGAAACCCCGAAAGAAGACAAAATCAGAAATGAAAATAAATTCCTCGAAAAAGAAGAACGCCGTCATTCGGCCGTAATACATCACACATACTCAAATAAATAACTTACGCCGCCCACAACATGCAGCCCTGCCATTGCATGAGAAAAGGCCAAGACGAAAAAAAAAATAAAAAAGTCATTTCAGTTCCCCGAACCTGATAGGTCGTTCCAAGGCTGCAAGACGGGTCGACCGAAACGAAGCATTGCAGGGTTCATTTTTTTTCTTTGCAATTTCCAAGCCTTCTCAAATTGATTTTCGGCCGCTGGCGGGAAAACATCAGACGACACAACATCCACTCAACTACCCATAGCTGGCTGGGGGGAGGGAAGACCGGGAGAGAGGGGAGTGGGTTTGTGTGGCCCGGAGCTAGTTTCGTTTTGTGTGCTGTGCTTGCTGCTGCTGCTGTACTCCACAAGCAATCTTCATCTTGTACTTATCTACATTGGGATTGGGGATGGGGGGTGAGTGTGTGTGTGGAGCCGTGGGAGGCTAGTTAGTTAGGTTAGTTAGCTTAGGATTGTGTCCGCGGTGGGTTAGTAGTCCACTGTTCGCTCCGAGCCTCTCTTTCTCTCTTACTTTCTCTGTTTTGAGTATGACTCCAGTCTCTTTTCTTACCCTCCTAGAAAAGATAGAGAGATAGTATCTACTTAGACTAAATTAATTTACCTTACTACTATCTCTGGAGAGATGGACATGTTCGAGACCCATACGTCGCTCGCTCGCTCTCTGAAAGATGTCAATAGCGATTGATTCATTTGGAATGAATCCGGTTGTGTTCGGGTTACTTTACTTACTAGTTTCGTTTTATTTTTTTCCCTACTACTATCTATCTATCTACGTAGTTATCTGTCAGTAATGAATGATTAATTCGAATAGCTAGCCCAATCTAATCACTCGAGCGCGGTCGCCGACCTTACTTTTTTTTTCTTTTCTTTTCTTTTTTTTATTTACTCGGAGAAATAAATAATGATACAGAAAAAGGGGGGGTTGTGTAGTATGGTAGTGGTGTAGGTTATGGAAAAGAAACGAACGAACGCAACGGGATTATACGGGAGTCACGCAAGACTAAAAATGTGACTGACTTGACTGACTGACTTTACTTGACTTGTCGGTGGGAAGATCCTTAGTTAGCAGGAAGCAAGGTCAATCTTTTCTCTCTCTACTACTGATTTTCTTATTTTTTGATTTGTTTATTATTATTGTGATTATTTTTTTCGGGGACGCTAGTTGGCATATGGAACAATCCTTCATTCGATTTCTACACCTCACCTCGCAAAGTAAACGGAAAAGGAAAAAGTAATGAAACCCGAGAAGAATAAGAAAATAAGAAACAAAAATAAGCAGAAGAGAAGAAAAAGAAAACATGGATGGGTAAAAGGATCACTGCAGGATTCGTGCAAGACCATCATCGTCCATCAGCAGGTGAGGATTTGGAGCAGAAAAAACGGAATGAGCAGTCAGTGAATGAGAGGAAGAAGAAGAAGGGGGGGGAAGGGGAAGCCAGAGCCAGCCTGAGGGAGGGCAAGGAGGGAGGGAGGGGGGGAAAAGGAAGCCGGCGAAGCAAGCCAACAGAAAGGCCGTAATGGGCCGCGTTTATTGGGCGCGGAATAGAGTCAGCAACCCAACCTGCAGTGGCTTTGCTAGCGTACCGTTGTGTC